ATTTTAAATTCAAATTTGGACGAAATGACATATTAAAATCAGTGTTAACCATTTTGGTTATTTGTTGTAATTTAAAAATATTATTCGTCGATATAATATGAAACTGAAGAAACAAAACATGGCCTATCCATACAATCTATAGTTTAATATTACGATTACCCACAGATATATAAAAATAAATTATTATTATACTAGGTTGTATACCAGTTTTGTTTTAAACATTTATTATATTATTATTAAATTAGGTAGTTAACCAGTTTTATTTTGTTATTATTATTATTATACTAGGTATAGTACTAGTAGATAGGTACCAGTTTTATTATTATTTTTTTTTTTTAAATTGTATTATTATTAAAATATAAGGTAGTATACCAGTTTTGTTTTATTGATTATAATATAGTATTTCAAAAATAATAAATGGATGTAAAATTTTTAATTAATGCAGATTGTTTTTAAAAATATTTTACAATAGAACAAATTTTTATAAAATAATGTAATATTCACATGCACCATTACATAATTTACATAGCTGTTGAATAAGCTAAAAGTTTATAATATGTATTTAAGATTTATGTAAGTAAGTTAAGTTATTAACATCATGAACTGCCATACAACTTTAAAGTTTAAACTCATAGTTTATAATATTATTATTAATCATATTATGAAAAATTGATAACAATAATATCTTTATCAGTGTTATGAAAATGTAAACATTCACCTCTTAGATAAGAGAATTTCAGCCATTTTGTTGGCTTCAAAAACATTTCCAAGTTGTCTATCTAGGGCCGATTTCACCAACACAGTTAATCACGGTTAACGCTTAATCGGCTGATAACAGATATTTAACCGGCCAAATTCGGCCGATTAAAACTCCGGTTAACTTTAATCATGATTAACTGTGTTGGTGAAATCGGCCCCTAGTATTTTTCTTAGATCAATTATAGTATATGATCTAAGCTCCATCCATAGTATATGATCTAAGGTTATTTTACTAGTTCCCCGTTTTACAGGCGCCGGCCAAAGAGTTCTGGTTTACCTGTGATCAGAAGTACGACCCGTTGAAAAACATGGTAACGAGTCCGCGTATCTCGTACCACGTGTCCACGTACGTCTGTAATAGTTTTATACGTTTGTTTACTCGAGTTACGTAAACGTTTTACAACATTTAGTATAGTTTGTTATTATTTATTTTATAGTTATTATTACCTATAGTCTTATATGTACCTATTTTTTTCTCATTCTTTGCAATATATTGTTTTTAACCGATAATTACACGTCGTGGCAGGTTTTGAATTTTGTTTTATTAAAATGGTTCGCTCTAATAACCAAGCGATTTGTTTCATTGATCAATAGCATTCTATCATTAAAAACAGCATTGAATCGAGATTTTTCTCGTTTCTTAAAGGTATGTATTGTACTAATGTGTAATACATAATATTATATTTATTTTAGATTCTGAGCGGAGCGATGAATGTATTGGTTTTACAATGATGTGTGTTTTTTTTTATATTTTTATATTTTTTTTTGTGTCTGTCATCACGTTTTAGGACAGTAAAAGTGCTTGGATTTTCTTCAACAGTAGCTTTTCTGATAGGAAAGTGAATCTAGTTGGTACTTTGGCGGGTCAAAAGTAAACATTTTCCAGTAGTTTTCACAAGCGCCGAGAAAAACAACATAAAAATTAAGGAAAAACGGGAATTTTTACTCAAAATCGGTTTTCCAAAAAATCGATTTTGGTTTTTGGTGTAACTCAAAAACAAATGAACGTATATACATGAAATTTTCACTGGTTGTTTATATTTGCATTTCCTATACACGATAACATTTTCAAAATATTTTGATTTATTTTGAACTGTTTAGGGACATTTTCATTTTCCATTTTTTTTTAGTTTTTTTTATAAAAATATCAATAAAATTTTATTTGTTGGTTGCAAAAATTTGAAAATTTAATAGAAGGCTCCTAATATATTGTTTCAAAGGCAGATGAAAAATATTAAAAATCCTTAGTCAAAATTTTTTTTTATAAGCATTTAAAGTTCAAAAATTGTAAAAATATGGAAAAATCACGAAAATTAGGGAATTATTTTGAGTTAAGAATTCGTAAAAATTTTTCTTTTTAAATCTAAGATTTGAAAATGTAATACAAGATTACTCATAAGTTTGTCTACCTTTATCAATAAAAAAAATCTCTACCGGAAAGTCAAATTAAATTTTTATGAGCGTTTGAAATTCAAATTTTTACAACATTGGATGTTCACTCGATTTCTCATGTAGCGATTTCCTTATTTTGTTGTAATTCAAAAACGAATAACTGTAGATACATGAAAATTTCACTGAATGTTTATATTAGAATTTCCTATACACCATACAATTTTGAAAATATTTTGACTCTTTTTGAGCTGTTTATGGACATTTACAGCTTTCAATTTTTTTTAGTTTTTTTTTCTATAAATATCAATAAAGTTTTATCTGTTGGGCCAAAAAGTGTAAAAATTTAATACAAGGCTCCTGATATGTTGTTACAATATCAGTTGAAAAATATTAAAAATACATAGGCACAGTTTTTTTTTATAAGCATTTAAAGATCAAATTTTGACAAAATTTATCAAAATCTCGAAAATTATCAATCATTGTAATTAATAAATTATAAAATGTTCAGTTTTTATAGCTAAGGATTGCAAATTCAACACAAAGGTTCTCGTAAATAGTTCATACTGTAGCCAAAAGATCTAAAAAATATATGAACACAGTTATTTTTTACAGACATTTTAAATTCAAATTTGGACGAAATTACATATTAAAAAACCTAGAACAACTATTTTAGTTATTTTGTTGTGATTGAATAATATTATTCGTGGATACTTGAAACTTCTAAAGTGTACTATTGTATATCTATGATAGTATCACGGTTTTTGTTGATGTATAACGCGTTATAAGTACCTAATGGATATTTTGATATGATTAATTTTGGAATTTATTATAGGTACCTATTATAGGTCAAATTTTGGTTTAGTACCATAGATATGTATAATGTATATAATATGTCTTATACCTAGACTGACATACTGTCTCCGCTCAGAATCGTTTTTCTTATACAATGATATTATATCGTTGAATTCAAATTTAATATCATCCATTATACAGTGACCCACTTGTAACCTACTGTACAGCAGAGCGACACCCACTTGCCCACCTTTTTTTTTTATGATGAAACTCGACATAATGATTTAATTACTTCTGGAAGAGAAAAATTTAAAATTGATACCTTTTTAGTAATTTTAGATCATTTATTGAATGAACTTAACAAGAGAAGAGCTGAGTATCAAAATTTTTTTTTTCCATTTGCTTTTATTGTCATGCTCGAACGTCTATCACATGATGATATTGTTAAAGGAGCTACACAACTTAATGAAATATACTATGATGATATGGATTTAAATGAATTAATCAATGAATGTTTACATTTAAAAGCACACATAATACAACTGGCTGACGATAAGCAAAACAATATTCTCAAACTTCTTCAAATTGTACATGAAAAAAACTTAATTTCAATATATCCCAACATCGAAATAGCACTCAGAATATATAAATCTACTGCGGTGACTAACTGTTCAGCTGAACGTTCTTTTTCTTGCTTGAAAAGAATAAAAAATTATCTCCGATCAACGATGTCACAGGATCGATTAAATGCACTTGCTATAGGTACTAAGTATTGAACATGAATTAACTAATCAGTTATCATATGACGACATCATAGAAGACTGCGAAAAAAAAATCAAGACGTAAGACTATAATCTGAAGAATATGAAAAATAATTATTTGTTCGTATTTTTTTTTTTTGTAATATGCTTAAAGAGTTTTCATTCATTAATAAATAATAATAGTATTGATTTTATGTTTTTATTTTATTAATGATCATTTTTTATATGGGGTGTGGAGAGTTTTTACGTATCACTTACAGAAGTAAAATATCAATACCTATGAAAATTAGGCGGTAAATTTATTTCAGCCTATGGGCGGCAAAAACCTTAATCCGGCCCTGTACCTAATGTTTAAGAACTCATAAGTTGGTTCACTGTCCAGTTAATTTTGTATTTTGAAAAAAATGTAAGGTTAGGTAATTATATACCTACATCACTATAAAGAGTAAATTTGTAACTTATCAAGCCCAGCCATGCAAGAAAATATTATAGACTATACACATTACATTACACACAAGTTGGTATAGGTACTATTACTACTATTAGTATATTTACATTTCAAATAATATTTAGAATATTTTAAGGTTCCTAAAAGACTACCCAAGACTGCAGTAAAAGTCCATTTACCTTCTTATTAGAATTTATAAAATATTAATTAATATGCATAAATGAATTATAATATTTTGTTAATATATTTGTATAGGTACACATAACACAAACACATATACAAATACAATATATTATGATTTTATAATTAACCTACATTATAATTATTAAGAATAAAAAATAATAATTGCATATTGCAATTTATTATAAAGCACGTAGCTCCAATTATAATTGTTATTGATTATATTTTATTTGCATATGCATATTTTGCATTGCATATTTATGCGGCAAAACCGTTGAACTATTATTATAATTATATAATTATATAATATATTATATAGTTCAATGGGCAAAACAAAATAAAGTAACCCTATGTACTACTAGCGCCCTACGCTAGTGGTAGAAATGTGTACCAGTCAACCGTAACACTTCCGGACCGCTTGGTTGGCGGGCGATAGCTAACCTGTATATCTTTAATCGTGCTCGCAACTAAGTTATTTCCATACTATACGGGCATGCGCGCAGATTAGTTGTTATGTCAAAATACAAATTATTGTTCGCCGCCTCTTCAGCATAATAATATATCGTACGAATTTACTGCGAGTGGTATTCTAATAGTACCTATACGTGGTGACGAGCTAATTATTTGGGACTCATTGTGGCAATTTTAACTGTTTCAGTAATTTTAAAATGTTCACCCGCAACCCAACAGAGGACCTAAAACGACACGGCTTCAGTCAGGAGGCTTACCTGATAATAGCGACGGTGTTTTACACGGCATCGCTGACGGTGTCTAGTAGCTTTCAAAATCACTTGATCAGTAAAAGATCCTGCGAGCCGTTAATTCCGTTCGGCGAATGCCTGGTTGGTGTTTATGACAGTGACCAACTGGTGAATTCGGATACTAATATCTTACAGTATTGGATTTCTTTCGCAGTTGCTTTAATAGCAGGTAAGTGAAAACTGCATAATATAGATAAACTGAATAAGCAAAAATCGTGATTGGCCACCGAGTTTTTATTTATTTTTTTTTTTTGTCACCGTTGATTCCAATAAAAATATTTGAATATAACTTTTATTTTCGAAAATAAACCAATGTTTTAAATTGTTTTAGCATTTGTGGATTAATATACAATATCTGCAGTATAATAATATGAAAGTTTAATATGTATATAATAAATAGAAAGATATACCATGTTAGGTGTATACTGCTACTGTTGCTGGTTGCTGCATGTTGACATTAATCATTAACATTAAATATCCCAGATCAATCAAAGATTAAAATAATACATTTATATCAATGAGATTCATTAAAATCACTCAACACCCTATCTATCTGGTACCCTAGGGGTGCGTTAAAATTTAATAAAAATAAATGTGTCTATACAACTTAGACTTTCCACCATGGCCAATTCCTACCTGTATATTTAAACAATAAATCCGTACCTAAAGCTGCATAGACAAATACCTATATAGGACTCTCTTAAGTCCGACTTGTGCAAATCACATTCGCTTTACAAAATTAAAATTAAATGTATAACTTTATCAACTACAGCATATCCTTAGTGAATATTCAAAAATCTACTTTAAAGTTAAAAATGAAAATATGTTTTATTTAAAATCTACTACCATTATTCAATCCTATACGGTATACAAATATGGAGGTCAGCTAAAAAGCCAAATACACAAAAAAGTAAAATATTTCCCAATAAAATCCACAGATCAAAACCCTCCATACATTTCAAACTACCCTCTCTACTGTCCACACAGATCTCCACATTACCAAGTTCTTTAAATGCATTAAATAAATAAATGTCATATATTATACTTACCTATAGTACCATATGTCTGTCGTAGGCCGTATGGAAAATTAGATTTTTTGCAAAAAGACTAGGCTCTTTGCAATGGGGTAGCCCGTTTGCGAATTACTTATTATTTTTCCAAACAGCCTGCTGTTTTTAAGGCTCATTGCATACAGACTAACAGCAGTTAGGCCTTTTAAGAATTACAATCATAATAACAATAAATATTATATGGTAATTTATTACTGATTATACTTATTACATAATTTAAATTATATTATTTTAAGGGTTATTGATAATAACCCAGTACATTATAATATGTAACATGTAAATTGAATAATTATATACGGTACCTAGGTATTTTGTATATCTAATGGTCCACGATCTACTTTTTTAATATTGACTAAAGTCTAAAACATAACTTCCTAGTTCCTACTCATAAACTGTATCGCAATAGCGTATTTATAAAATCATATCAATCGTATAGATTTCAAATTTTTGGTTTTTACCTACATTAGTATACTACATTACAACCGACTATTTTAAAGATACGGATTGACGACGTATACCTAATAGTTGATGGAATCTACAAGATAATGACTAATCAGTAGATTAGATTATACATTTCATTGTACCTATTTTTGTCAACATACTGTAGTAGGTACTAGGTAGGTACATACTACAGTACCAACTATACGTTAGTAAACCCGGTGTATTTCATCGAGTGCGTTAATACTTACGAGTGCATAATATGGAAAATGTAACAGTAGTGAACAAATTTAACAATGAAGTTACTAATTATTATAAAAATAAAACGAACGCAGTTAAACAACCATGGACAATAGCTACAATATCCGATGCTGTTTCTGAAATAGCAGCTTCTAAAATACCAGGAACCAAAAAAAATAGTAAGCAATATAGATTGATTAAAAAATATGATATTATGGAAGTAGGTGATTCAAAATATTTGGTAAAAAAAAGAAAAAATCATGATGAGCCAATTGTTCAATTAGTAGCACGTGAGAATTTTTTTGAAATTTTAAATACGATTCACAAAAATATTGGACACGGAGGTCGTGATAAAATGATGTATGCTCTAAAAGATAAATATTATATTCCAAAACCTATTGTTTTGATATTTTGTAAGTTGTGCAATGTTTGTAATTTAAAAAAATCTCAGCAGCACAAAAACATTGTTGTAAAACCTATATTATCCAAAGATTTTAATGTTCGTGGGCAAGTTGATTTGATTGATTTTCAATCGACACCAAGTGGTAGTTTTAAATGGCTTTTAAACTACCAAGACCACGCTACAAAATATTGTCATTTACGTCCATTACAATCAAAGAGAGCTTCAGAAGTAGCATTAGAGCTTCTTAAGATATTTTTACAATTTGGAGCTCCTTATATATTACAGAGCGATAATGGTCGAGAATTTACCGCAACTGTAGTAGAGGAAATGACAAACCTGTGGCCTGAGTGTAAAATTGAAGTTGTAATTGAAGTTGGAAATTATGTTTTAGTTAATATTCCAAAGGTAGATCGTGGACCATTAGACACACAAAATATAATTGGTAAAGTTGTCAACAAAAAAAATAACGTTTACCAAATTGGTACAAGATTTGGAATTATAAATACGTGGTTAAGCAGAAATGTTCTACAGACAACCGATGCAGAATTTCTTGACGAAGTACCAGATACGATGTTAACATTAAGAGAAATAGCGAAGAGACATTCTCAATTCGGAGGACAGGGTTATCAAAAATGTTTTTGCAAAACATCGTGCAAAACAAATAGATGCGCTTGTCGCAAAAACAATGTACTGTGTAGCTCAAGATGTCACGAAAAAACTACATGTAACAATAAGTAAATACTTTATATAATATTTAATATTGTAATGTAATATTTTTTATAATATTGCAATTTAATTTAATTTAATATTTTATATATATATATTTTTTTTTGTTAGTAATATAATATAGGTAATAAAACTAGTAATTCAATAGTCAATAACTGTACAAGTAATAAATTAAGAAGTGTGTTATTATCAATAACCCTTAAAATAATATAATTTAAATTATGTAATAAGTATAATCAGTAATAAATTACCATATAATATTTATTGTTATTATGATTGTAATTCTTAAAAGGCCTAACTGCTGTTAGTCTGTATGCAATGAGCCTTAAAAACAGCAGGCTGTTTGGAAAAATAATAAGTAATTCGCAAACGGGCTACCCCATTGCAAAGAGCCTAGTCTTTTTGCAAAAAATCTAATTTTCCATACGGCCTACGACATGTCTACATAGAATGATCGACATTTAAAAAAAATCAATAAGATATTAAGTATAATAATACGATGATTGATGATGGACTTACACTTTCTGATTTTGGAAATTCCCAAGTTAAAAGACAGGAAATGGACACAAATCTATAAGAAAGTCAAATTAAATTTTTATGAGGGTTTGAAATTCAAATTTTTACAACACTGGATATTCACTCGATTTCTCATGTAGCGATTTCCTTATTTTGTTGTAATTCAAAAATGAATAACTGAAGATTCATGGAAATTTCATTGGATAATTATATTGGCATTTCCTTTACAGTATACAATTTTGAAAATATTTTGACTCTTTTTGAGCTGTTTACGGATATTTACAGTTTTCAATTTTTTTAGTTTTTTTTTCTATAAATATCAATAAAGTTTTATCTGTTGGGCCAAAAAGTGTAAAAATTTAATACAAGTCTCCTTGTTACAATATCAGTTGAAAAATATTAAAAATACATAGGCACTATTTTTTTTTGATTGAAAATGTAAAACAAGATTCCACATAAGTAGTTAATTCTGTTACCGAAAAATCTAAAAAATACATAAGCACAGTTTATTTTTAAAGTCATTTTAAGTTCAAATATGGATGAAATTACATAATGAAAAACCTAGAATAACTATTTTAGTTATTTTGTTGTGATTGTATAATATTATTCGTGGGTACTTGAAACTTCTAAAGTGTACTATTATATATCTATGATAGTATCACGGTTTTTTGTTGATTTATAACGCGTTATAAGTGCTTAATGGATATTGTGATATGATTAATTTGGAATTTATTATAGGTACCTATTATAGGTCAATATTTTTTAAAATACCATAGATAAGTATATAATATGTCTCATACCTAGACTGATATACCGTCTTGACTTAGAATCGTTTTTCTTATACAATGATATAATATCATTGAATTCAAATTTAATAACATCCATTATACAATGACTCACTTGCAACCTACTGTACAGCAGAGCACCTTTTTAAATATTTTAAGTGTATGTTTTGATGTTAACAATATTATGTTCATTTAATTAGTTTTTCTCTATATTAGAAAATCTTCAATATAATAGTATTTTGTATTGACAGATGTAATTTAATTCTTCTAGAAGTTGATTTTATGTTTTATATACACAGATATAAAAACATAGTTAACAGTAAAATTAAATAACGTAAATTGTAACATAATACAGAAATGAAAAGTGAATTAAAAAAGGTGGGAAAGTGGGTACCGTTCTACTGTACAGTTGTAGGTGTCGAGTGGATCACAGTAATGAATGTGTTACATTTTAATCGAATGATATAAAATCATTGTATACGAAAATTTTTTATTTCAGCCTATATTACAAAGTATATTTTATAACATTATTGCTATTAAGGGGGCTCCAGAAGTCCAGTCGATAAAAATTGACTTTCAGACCAAAAAGCCAGACAAAACTAGAGGAGGTTGGTTTGACGGATTTTAATTTTGAAAACGGATTAATATGATTGATTAACAAGTTTACTTCGATATAGGTTTCCTTATGAGGCGATTTTTAATATTTCAATAAATTATTGTTAGTTTCATAATGCGTATTAATATGTTAGGTAAAATAAAAACGAAAATATCATATTTTTATTCGCGAATATCGCTGAAAATATAGATATTCAAAATCGCCTCGATGGAAACCTCGTAAACTTTTAGTAATCAATGAAAATCAGTTTTAAAAATTGAAATCTGTCCAACCAAATTCCTTCAGTTTTCTCTGATTTTTTGGTTTAAGAACCACTTTTTTTTCATCAACTGCAGCATCCTTAAAATTTCTTTTATGATACGGAATTAGTAATAAAGTAGTTTGAATTAATTTTTTTCGAAAAAATTGCATTTAAAAACGCCATCTTGTTCATAAAATATAATAATATACTTTAAGTCTCGAGTAGCCACGAATAATGTTTTAAATTACAACAAAATAAATCGTTATTCTTCTTTAAAGTATTATCTAATTTTGTCTAATTATTTTTCTATAGATATTTTAATTGAAATGTGTTTATATATTTTTAAGATACTTAACTCTAGTTACGATATGAACTACTTATGGGAAATCTTGTATACTAGTTTCAAGCGTTATGACCCAGCTAAAAAACCTATTATCGACATACATTTATAGGAAAAACATTATAACAAATTAAAAATTGAGAATGTCTATAAATAGCTCAAAAAAGTCAAAATATATTGAAAATTATATCATGTACCTATATAAAATTATAAAATGATTATTTGATGAAAATTGTAAGCATCTATGGTAATTCGTTTTTGAATTACAATAAAATAAGAAAATCTTTTGACGGGAAATCGTTAATTTACGGGTGTAAATCCAATGTCGTAAAATGTTAGCTATGAAAATACAATTTTTATGAATTTCTACTATAAAGCTAAGTAATTTGCAATAACTTCAGCAGCTCACAAAAAATTATAGTGAAATTACACTAATAACATTTTAAATACAACTTTGTATTACATTTTTACGGTTTTTAACCGAGCAAAAACATTTTTATTGACACATATTGATAAAAAATCTTAAACTTTACAGTTTTCATGAATATTTATAGCTGCAAAGGGTTTAAATATTTTTAAATATTCATCATATTAATGATATTATAAATATTTGGTGAAAATTTCAAGTATTTACGGTTATTTGTTTCTGAGTTACACCAAACAAAAAAAATTAATTTCGTCGAAAACTTGTTTCGCTTAAAAATCCATATTTTTTTACTTAATTTTTTTTTCGTTTTTTCCGACGCTTCAATCGATCTCTTCAGAATCTAAAATGGTTAGTATAGAATTTTTTTTAAAAATTTCCTTTTTCATACGTTTAAATTATGTTAAACAACGTATTTCTAATAGTGTTAATGGTTTTCAAGAAATTGAGATGTTTACCATTAAAAAACACCACACTTGGCATTTAGTTCTATATAATTTAATCTATCCTTTATTTTTTATAAAGATGCATTGCAGAACTTAAATAATTACTAATTTGATTTTATATTGTATTTGCAGGAGCATGGAGTGACAGTCATGGAAGAAGACGTAAACCTTTGATTTTCTTACCGATTATAACACAGATCTTAACAGACGGTTTATATTTTGGCAGTAGTCATTGGAATTGGTATTATTATAATGATATCTATCTATGGATAATTCCTGCACTTTACGTTGGTCGAAATATTTTCTGGATTGGCGTGATGTCATATGTATCAGAAATTTCTACTATTGAATCAAGGACTTTAAAACATGGAATAATAATTGCAACTTATCCATTAAGTTCCTTAATGGGCTCGGGATTAGTTGCATTATTAAAAATAGGAATACAATATCGTTATTATGAATTTATGTTTTTGGTACCGATATTGTTAAATTTGTTGGCGTTATTGGTTATCAGTTTACTCGTAAAGGACACATCTGACTCTGATTGTAATAGAGATATTGAGTGGCAGAGACCGAAATATGTTCTCAAGGAGTTCACTGATTTATTTAAGGATAAATTAAAGGGTTCGGCTGTTGTATTAGCTATATTGATAATATGTCAATCAATATTAGTTACAAGAATAGGATGTAAGTCATAATTATTATTTTTGTAAATTTTATACATTGGAAATTATGTTGACATTTTATATTTCAGGTGACTATGATTTAATAATGTTGTATATGTGGTATAATGATGATGAAGTTTGTTTTACCGTTTTAAAAATGATGGCCATATTTGTCGGTAATAATTCAATTACATTAATTTTTAAAAAAACAAAATTATTTTTTAAAGAATGTTTTAGTATTTAAGTATAGGTAGGTATTGGGGACCTAAAAATATATATTCAGTATTTATACTTTTTATTTGTTTTCTATATTTTCTCTTAAGCTCATTTATTATAGGTGTGCCATCTTTTTGTTTCCAGGAACTGTGTTTTCGGTTTCGGTTTTAAGTCATTGTATGAAAATAAACGATTTACTAATTAGTATTTCAGTTTGCTGTTTTTACATCGCAGCTGCTGTATGTTACATTTTTGCCAGTCAATTTTTTCAAATATTTATGAGTAAATATTAATTTGTATTTTATTATTCATATTATAGTCATACCAATATAATAAAATTTTTATTTTAGTTATAATAATTTATTCATGCCATGGAACAGTGATTACTATTGTTAGTTCTTTAACATCAAAATTGGTGCCAATTGAACAACTCGGTATCTGCGTATAGACTTTTATTATATTATTATTTGTCAATGTTCTTAGAAAATTATAATATTTATTATTTATAATATACTTATAGGTCGTTTAAATGCAATACAAATGTGTATGAACTCCATGTTGACTGTTGGTGTAGTTACGGCTTATCATTTCATATTTGATTACATTAATTATACTAAAGCTGGACATTTGTGTCTGTTCACTTTATTGTATATCGGTTTGACTCTACCCATATTATCTGTGTTTGTGTAAGTTATTTTTTAATTTCAAAAATGATTTATTTACTTATATTATCCATATTAATTATATTTACTGTTTTTAGGATTTTGTATTCTAAGTACAAACATGTCATGCAAAACGATACTCCTACAGTAAAACAAGATAATATTTACGTCATAAGTTAATTTTATAATAATGTTTTAATGTTATTTTACATTTTATTTGTAGGAATTGAATACACATAACTGCTATTAATATTAACTTTTGAAAACAGACGGAATATTATATTATTGGTTTCATTTATGCGTTAAATTTTTTATTGTTCATTTTTTTATTTTGTCCTAATAAATCAATAGAAAATGTAATACTATTATTAACCTGCATCAACAATGCTAAAGTTACCAAATTCTCATCTTCTATTTATCGGGTTCGGTTTTTTTAAATTTATTACTATGAAATTAAATATTTTTCTAAACAATTAAGCTTTAAAAAAAATTTAATATTATTCAGTTTATTAATACAGTCCCACACAGCATTTGGGTAATGCTAATATTTTGTAAATATTTTCAAATAGTTTAATTATGAATATTTTTATAAAAATATTTTTTAGATTTTTTAAAAAAGTTTCTATGAAAATATTTTTGGAAAAATCATAATAGAACTTTTTATAATTATTATTCAGTAAATATTATATTAATTATGTTAAAATATATTTTTTAAATATACTACAATAATTGAGAACCAAATATTTTTAGAATAATTATAATATAACTTTTTGTAATTATTATTAAGTAAATATTATATCAATTATGTTAAGATATATTTTTTTAATGCACTGTCGCAAACAAAATATTTTCTGGACAATAATAATAGAACCTCAAATAGATATTTGTTCATAAATATTTTATAATACCTACCTACCTTTGTCCTATTTATATAATATAAAACCTTTAAAAAAATTAACACGTGTGTTAACATTTGGTTATTTATAATTGATATGGATTTAATGGCCAAAATGTTGGACTAAGTAGGTACACATTTTTTTCTCCTATATTTGACGACCGATTATTATGGACTCCATTTGCATTTAACCTAAGTTGTAAATGCTTAGGTGTTAGGTATCTATAATTTATAATAAATCAACTTAATATGTTAGGCTGTATAAACACTATAAAATAAACTATACAAAATAATACTGTATTCATCAACAATTTAAAAAAATATTTTTTTCTAGAATATTAATTTAAGACATTTTTAATCTTAAAAAAAGGTGCTCTGCTGTACAGTAGGTTACAAGTGGGTCAATGTATAATGGATGGTATTAAATTTGAATTCAATGATATAATATCATTGTATCAGTCTAGGTATGAGACATATTATATACTTATATATGGTATTTTAAAAAATATTGTCCTATAATAGGTACCTATAATAAATTCCAAATTAATCGTCTCACAATATACATTACGTACTTATAACGCGTTATACATCAACAAAACACCGTGATACTATCATAGATATATAATAGTACACTTTAGAAGTTTCAAGTAACTTAAATTAACTATAAAAATAAACTGTGCTTGTGTATTTTTTAGATTTTTCGGTAACAGAATTAACTACTAATGTGGAATCTTGTTTTAAATTTTCAATCCTTAGATATAAAAGTTGAACATTTTATAAATTATTAACTACAAAATAATTATTCAACTTTAAATTTGATAAATTTTGTCAAAATTCGATCTTTAAATGCTTATAAAAAAAAATTGTGCCTATGTATTTTTAATATTTTTCAGCTGATATTGTAACAATATATCAGGAGGCCAGGAGCCTTGTATTAAATTTTTCCATTTTTGGCCCAACAGATAAGACTTAATTGATATTCATAGAAAAAAAAACTATAAATGTCCGTAAACAGCTCAAAAAGCGTCAAAATATTTTGGAAATTGTTATCAAGTATAAGAATTGATAAAATAAACATTCAGGGAAATTTGCATGTAATTCGTTTTTGAATTACATCAAAATAAGAAAATTGTTACATGAGAAATCGAGTGAATAACAAATTTTGTAAAAATATGAATTTAAAATGCTCATAAAAAATTAATTTCACTTTCCGGTAGACATTTTTTTTTTGATAAAGGTTTGACAAACTTATGAAAAATCTTATATTACATTTTCATATCTTATATTTAAAAAGAAACATTTTTATGAATTTCTAACTAAAAATAATTTGCAAGATTACGTGTTTTCAATATTTGAACTTTAAATGCTTATAAATAAAACTGTGACTAAGGATTTTTAATATTTTTCAAACGTCATTGGAACAATATAATAGAAGCTTTGTATTAAATTTTCAAGCTCTTTTACTTAACAAATAAAGATTTATTGACATTCACAGAAAAAAAACATAAAAAAGTTTAAAACCGAGTATATCCGTAAAAAGCTCAAAACAAGTCAAAATTGTTTGAACATTTTTCATGTATAGAAAAGGCTAATATAAACATTCAGTGAAAATTTCTTGTCATTACCAAAGTACCAACTAGATTCACTTTCCTATCAGAAAAGATACTGTTGAAGAAAATCCAAGCACTTTTACTGTCCTAAAAGGTGATGACTGACACAAAAATGAAAAAAAATTAAATTAAAAAATTAAAAAATTAAAAAAAACACACATCATTGTAAAATCAACACATTCATCATTCCACTCAGAATCTAAAATCAATATAATTCCAAATTGGCAAACCTAAACGATTCCGTGTATTTAACGATTGAAAAATTACAATTACAATTTACTTTACAGATAATCGCTGACCTTTGATAAAATTATCATCCACAGGTTACCAATCTACCATAAACTACTACAAGGTGGTATTTCAAAAAGTAAAGATTTCTATATAATTTGTAACTTAATATTATACATATTAGGTACCAGTGGCGTATATAGGGGGTGCCCCCTAGGCCAGAGCCCATAGTGAAATTGCAGATTCAATTAAAGCATTTCATGTATATCTACACTGTTTACAGTTTTTCACCATGATTGATTTAGCCAGTTGATTAAAATCGTTTTTGAGGTATCGAAAAGGAAATGATTGTCAGGACTTGCTTTGATGACTTTGAATGTTAAATTCAAAGTAAGATAACATTAAAATATATATATATATATATATATGAAATTGTCAATATTTTTTTAAAAAGAATTAAAACATTTATTTTACATAATAATTATAAAATTAAACTTCGCAATTTTTATTGGTATCATTTATTTATTTATGCCATAATTATAACCACCCTGCAGCTCCCTAAAATATGTATAGGTAGTTAAGGCTGTATTATAGTGTGTACTACAAAATATGTATAGTTATGTAGGTACTGACTGTATAGTGATAAATTCCCAAAATTGGCCCATAGTGAAAATAATTTGTATATACGCTACTGGTAGTTCCCTAAAACAATATTAAAAAACATTGTATGCATTCAGCGTGTTTATAATCATTAAAATATAATTAAAGTGATATGGCTCCATTATTAATTCAGATAAGATGATTGGTATACAAAATAAGAGTGTACTAATCACTCGCTGTTCGAAAAGCACGACCACAGTATTATTTCGTGTCTCCATACAATTAATTGTGAAGAAACTGCCATTATATTATTTAGATGCAGTCGAACTCAACAGATTAACAAAACTATTATAACGGCAACGTCTTGATTCGGATTTCAAAAAAAAATATAGATGTATAATATTAAATACTTTCCACGATTCTTGCATACGGTATTAATACCGCAATAAGTCAATTGATAAAAAGGCCAATGAGAAAATTTTCATTAACGATTTTTTGGAAGAATTGTGACGGTCATCTATAAATTATCGTCCAAAATAAACGATTCTTGCATACACAGATACACAGACACCAAGAGAATTATTATAATAATATACTAACCATCACTATGAAATTTAATTCACGTAAGTAAACGTTAATCCTAAACTTTTTAATAGCATATGTTTTCCTATTTATATTAAAATAGAATATAATAAGTTTCCTGTATAGTAGAGTAGGTATGCGTACTACTTAGATGTATTATAATACAACGTTTTAATGTTTTATTCTAATATCACAAATAATTATTCACTTAATTATGCGATGTAAATATCCATTAACTTAATATTTCTATGATTTATTTATTTACTTTTGTGGGCGTTAAAATATGAACATTTTATGTCTTAGTCATGCTTTGATGTCTTGACCGCGAGTATTGCAATAATGAGAACATTTTATTAATATTTATATTTAATGAGGCAACTCTAATTCTAACTAAATTGGATACGATTTCATAGTTAAATAAAAACTTAAATTTGGTGAAATTAAGTTTTATACAAAAAAATATAACGATAAAAATGATAAAAACTAGAGCATTAAATAAAGGATGGAAGGATAAAGGATATTAGATGCTTCAAACCGGGAATACTGTTGTCTTTTTTTAAAAAAATTCTTTTACTGGTGAGTATTTAAGTTCTATGAAGTATTATTGTGAGTGTCATTAATAGGTTTTTCTACTGAACGGTTGTACAGTTATTGAAATATTTATGTATAATTTATAATTTTATATCTTATATATATGTCTTATATGTCTTATGTCTACTGTGAACCTATGCCCTGATACTGATGGTATATTTCAACAATTTGAAAATAATATAAGAATAAATTATTAATAAATAAAAATATTATCTGAAAAAAAATAAACATGTCTTTATTTTTAGCAAAAGAATTATTTCGTATCATCAATAACAAAAAGGTGGGCAAGTGGGTGTCGCTCTGCTGTACAGTAGGTTACAAGTGGGTCACTGTATAATGGATGGTATTACATTTGAATTCAATGATATTATATCATTGTATAAGAAAAACGATTCTGAGCGAGGACAGTATGTCCTTCTAGGTATAAGACATATTATATACTTATCTATGGTATTAAAAAAATTGACCTATAATGAATTCCAAATTAATCATATCACAATATCCATTAGGTACTTATAACGCGTTATACACCAACAACAAACCCTGATACTATCATAGATATATAGTAGTATACTTTAGAAGTTTCTAGTACCCACAAATAATATTATACAATCACAACAAAATAACTAAAATAGTTATTCTAGGTTTTTTATTATGTAATTTCGTCCAAATTTGAATTTAAAATGTCTGTAAAAAATAACTGTGTTCATATATTTTTTAGATTTTTTGGTTACAGTTAGTTCATCTATTTATGAGAACCTTTGTTTTCAATTTGTAATCCTTAGCTATAAAAACTGAACATTTTATAATTTATTAATTACAATTATTGATAATTTTCGAGATTTTGATAAATTTTGTCAAAATTCGATCTTTAAATGATTATAAAAAAAAATTGTGCCTATGTATTTTTAATATTTTTCAATTGCTGTTGTAACAATAAATCAGGAGCCTTGTATTAAATTTTTACACTTTTTGGCCTACCAGATAAAACTTATTGATATTTATAGAAAAAAAAACTAAAAAAATTGAAAACTGAAAATGTCCGTAAACAGCTCAAAAAGATTCAAAATATTTTCAAAATTGTACAGTGTATAGGAAATGCTAATATGAACATTCAGTGATATTTTCATGTAACTACAGTTATTCGTTTTTGAATTACAACAAAATAAGGAAATCGATGCATGAGAAATCGAGTAAATATCCAATGTTGTAAAAATTTGAATTTCAAACGCTCATAAAAATTTAATTTGACTTTCCTGTAGAGATATTTTTAATAATAAAGGTAGATAAACTTATGAGTAATCTTGTATTACATTTTCAAATCTTAGATTTAAAAGAAAAATTTTTAGGAATTCTTAACTCAAAATATTTTTCTAATTTTCGTGGTTTTTCCATATTTTGTCAAATTTTGAACTTTAAATGCTTATAAAAAAAAAATTGTGACTAAGGATTTTTAATACTTTTCATCTGCCTTTGAAACAATATACTGGGAGCCTTCTATTAAATTTTCAAGCTTTCGATACCAACAAATAAAATTTTATTGATATTTTTAGAATAAGAACTAAAAAAAAATGGAAAATGAAAATGTCCCTAAACAGTTCAAAACAAATCATAATATTTTAAAAATAGTATTGTGTATAGAAAATGCAAATATAAACAACCAGTGAAAATTGCATGTATATACGTTCATTTGTTTTAGAGTTACACCAAAAACCAAAATCAATTTTTTTTAAAACTGATTTTGCGTAAAAATTCCCGTTATTCCTTAATTTTTATGTGTTTAATCCCGACGCTTGTGAAAACTATTGCGAATTTTAAAACTTGACCATCTCGAATGCACCAACTAGATTCACTTTCTAATCGAAAAAGATACTGAAGTTGAAAATCAAAGCATTATTTCGACTACTTATCGTGTACACAGACACAAAAATAAATTTAAAAATTTAAAAAATTTAAAAAAAAAAACAAAAATCATTGTAAAATCAATACATTCATCGTTCCACTCAGAATCTTAAAGGTTTCTTTTTTATGCACACTATTTTTATTTTTTATTTAAAACATAACTAATATCAATAACTATGAATAATAATGAATGTGAAAAATAAAATAAATTACGTCTAAGAAAAAAATAATATAGGTACCTATATAATGATCTAGAAAATCAAATTGTGAGATTCAAAATAAGTTGTATTAAAATCGTATAGATACATTAATTATAATGTGTTCAAACATTTTTATTAGTTGTTGATTGTTTCATATATTTTATTTATCAGTGTACAACTATGATTCATAAAAATCGAATAAATCAAATTACAAATGTATCGTTGTAGAGTTTGATCAGTCATTATAAATTATGATTTTACAATAAAAAAAGATCAATTAAAATAATTTTTTAATTATTATAAATTTATAACATAAAAATGTGTCTTATTAAAAAAAGAAGTAAGCAATCGTATATACAACAAATATAGTCACTAATCTGTAATCATAGTAAATGGCTGTTGTGGAAAGTAGATTTTAAACACAATTATCTCTGTTTATCAGTCATTATAATTATAACGTCATCCAACACTTTATATTTTTAGTCTTGACATTATTAACTTCATATCAATCTGTAATTATTCCAGTGCATTTAGTTTTCTTATTGTGTGATTATTAAATTCTAGCAAATATAGATTTATTTTATAGACCTTTTAAATAAAATAATTATTTTAATATTAAATAGTGAATACTATAATTGCATTGTGCGTAAAGATTATGCAAGGGCAAGGCACACAAGATACATTCTCCTTTACTTGGACTATGTACCGACCTAAACTTTCCTTGATTAAACTACCGACTGGGTATGTACAGTAAGTAAAACAAAAATTGGAATTGTTCTATTGAATTAGACAAGTTGTAGGTAGGTAATAATAATATATGTATGTATTTTATTTATTATGATCAAATATTTTTATGATCCTTCAGCCTTCTGTTGATATTGACGAAATTTCTGCAAACGCCCTTGTCTGTAAGCCCACTTTTATAACTGATAATATTATTATTATTATTATTGGCAACGAGGACCAAACACTTTTGCATGACGTTATCGTGGTTATAATAATTGATGTACATAACCTTAACCCCGCCTCACACGATAATAATATACATTATAATATTATATTTTATATTTATAAATGAAAACCATTAAACAATAGGATCTAATCGTCTAAAATGCCGAGGCCAATATAGGCCATACTCTGCATATAATATATCAGACCTACGATGTTATAGTTGGTACATACACAAAATTCACTCAAAAAACGAGAGGCAGTTATGAGAACTGAAGATCTTTTGATATTTTAGAGATGTTTGGATTTTTAATATTATTCCAATATCGTTGTAACAATATATTAGGAGCCTTGTATTACGTTTTCAAGCTTTTTCACCCAACAAATACATTTTCATTGACATTCATAGAAAAAAATTCGAAACTGACAATTCCGTAAGCAGTTCAAGACACATGTTATCGTGTATACAAAATACTAATATAAACAACCAGTGAAAATGTCATGTATCTTCTATTAATATTTGTTCTAGAGTTACACCAAAAACCAAAACCGATTTTTTGAAAACCAATTTAACCTAAAATTCTAGTTTTTCCTTAATTTTTCTTGTTTTTCACGGTACTTTTGAAAACTATTTGGAATTTTTTACTTTTGACCCCCCGAAGTACCAACTAGATTAACTTTCCCATCAGAAAAGATAGTGTTGAATGAAATCTAATCATTTTTACTATCCTAAAAGGTGATGAAAACACACATCATTGTAAAATTAATACATTCATCGCTCCGCTCAGAATCTAAAATAGGTAGGTACTTTATAGGTTTATGTTTTATCACTTATACGAGCATTTCATTTTAATTTATATGATTTACATAGGTACTTAGATTATTGATAGTTAATTTGTCTTTAGCCCACCCTTTTTTCATTCTTCGATCCACCCCTGATAAACCTACACTACATTTTAATTTGTATGGAAAGGGTAAATTTACTCAGACACTTACTAAATTGTGAGTGCAATATTATTTGTTTGTTAATTAAACTGATTAGTGTTAACAACAGATATGGGTTACATGCAGTGGCGTATTTTCACTTTTTTTCTGGGGGTGGTCCAATAATTCCAATATAATATAGATAGGTACTGATATAAAGAAAAAGTTTTTAATAGATAAGAATAAAAAATAGTTATTTTATTATATTTTATAATTTTAAGTACAAAATCCAAGCGTCTTTTTTTTTACAAAGTTCATCTTTTTACAGTTTTATTTTTTTATGAAGACATATTTATTACAATTCCAATTTCCAAACAATAAATAGATACAAGTATACAACTATAAAAAAAATAAAAAAATTAATTTGATAGTATTTATTAAATAATTATTAAATGTTAGGTTTTGTCAAATCTGTATTTACACCTATCACAAATGAGAGACCCTTGTATTTAAAAATAAATAGGGATTCTATATTAACTAATTTTAAACAAAAGGTTATTAAAAAAAAAAATCACTGCATTCGACGATTTGCAAAACGATTCTATGCAATACCTATGCGTTTTATATCAGAGACATTTATGAACCGATCTACATCAAAGAGACACAGAGTACAGATAGATTTTTAAAGAATATATATAGAAGTTCAATATACAGTATAGGTTAAACGAATATTGAAATAGGAGAAAAATACACAAAATACAAACATGAAGTAAATGATTCTACGACAATTGCCTTGTTTACAAAGAAAAAATTCAAATAGATTAATAATAGCTACCTATACTATCCTATAGAAATATTTTATTGGAGAATGATGTGCGTCGTCAATTTCTTGCGATAAGAATGTTTTGACTGTTTTGAGAATTATTGATGTTTATCTAATACGGGTATTTTATAAAGTGGTAATACATAAAATACAAGGATAAGTTTTAGTTACGGAGGGTTTTTGAACGTTCGACCGTTGGCTAATTTTAAGCTATATTTCATATAAATATTTTGTTTACGGGAAAAAACCATGTCCGTGTGTGCTTATATAAATCGGGGTCTGCAAATATGTAAGAATTTTTTTTTTGGAGAGATTCTGGGGGGGGTCCAGTACCCCTGGACCACCACCCCCGTAAATACGCCACTGGTTACATGTATTTTAACTCAATGCATTGTTTTTCAAATCAACTCTAAATAGCTAAGTTGTTACATTAGGTTTAAGTTAATTAGAAATTTAACAAACTAGTTTTAAGTTCAAATATTTGAAAAAAAATGACTTTTAACCTCTTTAACTTTTAAACTTATTAATTTCCCCGCCGTTGCTGAAATAATATTAATTGAATATCGATGTTGTTTAATGTTTTCCCTCATCCCGGTGGTCCGGTTTTGCCGCTGCGCAGGACATGTATCCCAGAGATGGGTGATGGCCGTGATGGGGATGTTGGGCGTGACGATGGCGTACGTGATGCGGGCGTGCCTGGGCATCACGCTCACGCAAATGGTGAAGTCCGTGCAGGTGCAGGGCCGGCGGAGTGATCCTCTGACGGCCGTGCAACACGACTACTGTCCGTTGCCGGGGACGACGGCTCAGGGGCGTCTGCACTCGTCGGATGCGTCCAACCGGACGTCAGTGGAGGCCACGGCGACGGCACAGGGGCACGTGCAGGGCGACCGCCGGAGGTTTGACTGGGACGAAGAGACACAGGGTGAGGTGCTGTCGGCGTTCTACTACGGTTACATACTCACGCATGTTCCCGGTGGTGTGCTGTCCCAGAAGTACGGCGGCAAGCACACCATGGGCATCGGCATACTATGCACTGCCATATTCACGCTGATGACACCGTTTGTGGCACACATTGGGTCCAGGCCGCTGGCTATCCTGCGATTTGTCGAAGGACTTGGTGAAGTAATGCGCATGCGTACAATACTATTACGTTACCTGTATATACGTTATCATATATTTTATTGCCGAGGTTATACAAGTTGACTAATTATTATGTAAACTCGTTAGGTCAAGTTAATTTAGAAAAATGGAGGTAAAGCTTGAAGTTTAAAGATACTTTTATTTATTTTAACTTGTTAATAAGTTAAAAGTTAAATTGAATAAAAAAACAACTTAACTTAGTTCAAAATCAGGTACATTTTTTAATAAGTAAATATTTACAATCCATGTCAAATCACAATGCGTACATTAATTGATAAAAGTAGACAACGAAAACAAATGTTTTTAGGAATGTAACTTGGTTAAAAACAACTTAATTTCAACTTTTTAACTCGTTAATGTCCAGCCTTTCACATTAAACGTAGGCACATGGTAGATTTGACTGTTTTAAAATGCTAACAAATAATATTGTCAAATCATATACATTTTAAATATAAATTATAAATATATGTATATTAATTATTATATGCATCACGAGGGCTTTTGAATAAAAATCCACAATATTTAATATACAATGAATTATTATAACTATGTAAATATACCTACTAAATAATTAAATTGAACAGTCCATTAACTACCTTAAGTCTACCTACCTATTTACGCATTTTAAAACTTCATGGTTTGTAATATTATTATAATATGTTAGTGCAGGGGCGCACACTAAAAAATAAATAGGTTTAGCAAATTGATTCGGTTACCTCTATATTGGCTAATAGACTAATGGCTGTAGCCTATAATTATTCAATAGTTTATTTTCAATATTTTTATAAGTAGTAGAATTTTCGTGATGTAAATATTTTAGAGCCGGGGGGTCACCCACCCACCTACCAAAAAAATCAGGGGTAGCAACTGCTACCCTTGAACCCTCCAGCGTACGCCACTGTGTTAGTGACTGAAATAAATTACCCAACGTGATTGAGAGTAAGCAACGACGCCGCTGCTAGTAGTTTCCGGACGGGTGACCCTGGTCCGTAGTGGCAAAAACCTACATATACACGTATTGCCCACAAACCATATAACCGTTCCAACCCTTCCAACCGTAACCTCTACAATAGCTAATGGTCATATTGCCGGACTTTAGATCAAGGAACAAAAAATATATATTATATTAGAATATGACGTATAGTATTTTAGTAAACATCTTATTTTATAAAATCTAAAATATAGCATATTACCACTGTACAACACCTTGTTCAAATTTATAAATGATTAAGTGTACCGCACTTATACATAATATAATATGCATATTATTTACGAATGCATAATTACTTATTATACAGCTGGTTATGAAATATATGATGGGCTATATAGGTTTGTGGTTAAAATGTTGCATATATTTTCTAAAAGTCGTTAAAAGGCCTTATAAATTACTATCTCAAATAGATAAACTCGAATTAGCTTAACAATTATAATTTAATGGTACAAATATTTTCGATAAGTTTACTATAAAGTGAGTTTTATCTCATAACTATAGTATATTTTATTATGTATATTATACCTACAAATATATGATATGCCATTATTTTTACTTGCCCTCTGTCGAACTTAAGTACTTTATGAGTTTATTATTTTTCCACTATAGGGCATGACGTTTCCGGCGCTTTGCACACTCCTGGCGCAGTGGGCGCCCCCTGAAGAAAAAGGGAAGTTTGCCACGCTGGTATTCGCAGGTAACGCGTATTAAACACAAGATAGAATTTCATTGTATACACGTAATAAATTTGTATACAGGTGCGCAAGTCGGTAATATTTTGTCCAATTTGTTGAGCGGGTTCATCATGCGGTACATACCCGGTGGTTGGCCAAACGTCTTTTACTTTTTCGGCATTGTTTCAATCATCTGGTTTCTACTCTGGTGCATGTTCGTATACAACGATCCAAATTCCCACCCATTCATCTCGGATGAAGAGCGGGCCTACTTAAAAAAATCCATCGGTAGACTAGAGAGGAAGAAGGTTTGGACAGTTTTTTAGTCAGTACTCCTCTGTTATAACACAGTATGAACTAAGATTTTTATTTATGTGTACAGGATCTGACGCCTACACCGTGGAAATCCATACTAACCTCTGGGCCAGTATGGGCACTGATCATTGGTGGAGCAGGACACGACTGGGGCGCTTTTACTTTAATCAGCGATCTTCCCAAGTACATGAGTGATGTTTTACACTTTTCCGTGACTGAAGTAAGTTGAAAACAAAAACTGTATGCCAATGTAGTATGTACTAAGACAGAACATAAATTCATATTAATTTTAAATATTTATGGTATAGAACGGTTTGTTGTCGTCAATCCCATTTTTCGCCCAATGGGTCACATCAGTTGCTGCCAGTATACTAGCCGATCGCCTAATAAGTAGAGGATCAATGAAAGTCACTCACGTCAGAAAAATATATGCCATTATAGGTATAAATATTGAGTGAAAATATCACTAAAGTATACCATCAGGAACGATGTAAAAAAATTACAAAATGTATATGCTTTCTGCAGGAAATCTTGGTCCCGCTCTGGGAGTAATGTGTGCTTCATTCGTTGGATGTAATAAAATTATTGCAACATTGTGTTTTACCTTGGGCGTGGCCCTCATGGGATTCTGTTATCCTAGCTTACGTATTAATTCACTTGACTTGTCACCCAATTATTCACCTACTCTGATGGGATTGGTAAATGGTATTGGGTGTTTGTCAGGAATGGCCACTCCATATATCGTAGGAATCCTCACACCAAATGTAAGTTTGTGAATTCATTAATACAATTTAAATAATAATTTAAAATAATTTACTTAACCTAACCTGAATATTTTGCTGTTTTGAAATGCTAATTCTATACTACTAGTTACCTAGTGGCTAGTGTATATGCTATTTAGTATATTTTAATATATAATATAATATCTAGTTAATATTTTGTTTTTAATATTTTAGAGAACCGTTTTAGAGTGGCGTTTGGTATTTTGGATCATGGTGATAATCATGATGTCAACATCTATAATATTTGTTTTTTGGGGATCTGGGGAAGTACAGCCATGGGATGACATAAAACAGTACCGTCTAAGCGAAAATGAAAAAGATAATAAAGATGATGAATCAAATGTAATACAATTGAAATCAATAGATGATGAGAAAACATCAAAATAGTTTTATTCACAATCTATAACTAGGTACATATATTACAAAATCATCAAAACCATCCTTTACATTGTAAATATAAATACATTTTACCTATTAATTTAGTTATCAAACACTTGTTTTAGTAACTATTTTAAAAATAAACTGTTATCTGTGGAAATAAAATAAATTCTATTAGTATATAAAATACGCCATTTATATCTAATAAAATAAACAAATTATTTTTGTATATTATTATGTTATTTGTATATTTTACTTTATAAAAAATATCAAAATACATGCAATTATTGATAGTATTAACTTACTGGTCTGTAATCAAAACTTATAAACTTATAAACGTTGTACAACAAAAATTGAAAAATAATACATAGTATACTTAGGTACGTCATACTGAGAACCTACATATTTTATGCATTACCTACTTAAATTAGGTGTTTTGACTAAATTACGTTTGCACAACAGATTAAGTCAGTCAAACCGTCAGTTTACATTTCCTCGTTTCGCATGTAGGTACATATAATCATGACAAATTAGATAGGTATCAACACAGTATTTTGATACGCATCCTCCGCTCTTTACTTCGCCTATATCGTAGTTCTCCACTTATTATTGGCAGTCAATCACATACATATATATATAACATATAGAACAAAATCAACCAATGAGAAGTGGAGAACTACAATATAGGCCGGAGGTGAAGGAGATGCGTATCTACTGCTCAAAACTAGTACAACTGTGATGCAACCTATCTAATTTATCATGCCTATAATGTTATACTATACAGCACACTATCTTTCAACTACAAAGAATTCGATTGTTTCCAACTGGTATCGTATTGGTCATAATCGCTGGTATGGTTACAAATGCTTAACGAAGTAGTACATAATAATATTATGTACTTATAGATAATAACTGACTTATCAACATATTTTTGTCAAGCAATTATCAATTATGATACAAGACGAGTCAACTGAAATATTATAGTCTAGAGAAAACACACTATGCCTATACGCAAGGTACTATAGGTCTACAAAGCCGAATACACGCACTTCAGAGTATTGATAACTTCTTATGGAGTATTCTAGAAGTTCACTACCTCCTATATTTTGTACTTTTTTCAGTGCTTTCATACAGTGGTAAATCTATAATGGACCTTATACGATACGACTGCGCTCCGGAGCGTTCCCTTATAATAGTGACGATACTTTATACCACAGCACTGACGGTGTCTACTTCTATTCAAAATGCATTGATACAGAAATATACCTGTGAACCTTTGATTCCATTTGGCGAATGCCCAATAGGTGAATATGAAGGTCAGCGCCGAGTAAAATCGGGGTACAACACGATTGCGTACGATGTACCTTTTTAAGAACACGATTGAGTACGTTAACACTGAAATTGAGCGTTGTAAGTTCGATGAAAACTTTCAGATCCATTTGTCGTACTTAAAAAAAAATAAAATATAGCTAAATTATAGTTATTATAGCAATTATATAGTTTAATATTTATCGAGGATTTTCGGATGGCTCTTGTGCCCAAATTTCCGGTGGAAATAAACAACCATTCTCCACGTATGTATTTAAAATGTAGTCAGAAAACAAACATCCAATATATAAATCGGGACAAATTGATATGAGTTCACCAAACGCATTTTGGATATCTTGAAAAGGTAAAAATGGTATTCCAAAAAAAAGTTTTAACCATTTTCCCAAATCGGAGTTTTTAGTGTAGGCCAAACGAAGTTCTTTTTCAGAATTAATCTAAAAATATTCCAAATGTACTATCGATTTTAATTTATTTAATTCAATAAACTCACTTTGCGCCACCAACACTGTCCTAAGTGAAATCGACATGCATCTATTTCGATGTTAGGGAAAACTTCTTTTGCCGCTTCATGGGCACCGATTTCAAAATCCAAATGTAGTTTAAGAACCAATAATTTTTTAAAAATAATTTGTTCGCATAGTTCTATTGTAAAAACAACCACATGTCTGCGTAAATTTGCTTTGATTTATTTGGTAATAAAAAGTATGCCACTGGCACATAAAACCAATTTTTAAAACAATTGATTGTATAAAGTTGGGCAAACATTTTTGGTGCATAATTGAAAGTACTATCAGCAAAAAATTCACTTGTACTTACTACTTGTCTTAAAAGTAAGATTTTGTTCTGTAGTAACACAAACAAACATTTTATTGTCGGGAATAAAAACAAATTGTTTACCTTGAAATTGTATTATACCATCATCTTCCATTGCTTTAAGTTGTTCAATTGACTCCCTTAGTGATTTTGGAAAAGCGGGATAATGTTTTCGACGTTTATCGTACATTGCTTTTCGAATCGACCGTACATCTCTGTGCTCGATTTCATAGTGATTGCTCACCATAAGTTCGTTTCTAATTATTTTTATGGGTCTGACACAAATAGTATTATTTGATTTTCTTTTACAAGCTTCTCGTAGGACTTGTCGTTCAATGCTCTGTTGTGAATTTTCAGAGTGGTGGTGTTCATTAATTGTTTCATGGACATACTCTCCATTTGTCAAAATGCCTGAACACTCGAAAAACACGAAACACGCTGGGAGGTTGATAATCCAACGACGGTTCTTCACTGACTTCGTTTATTAAACGATAGGTATACTGCAGTATACATATTTTATCGATTGCGAGTATCCTAAAATATCCTAGTAAAATACCCGATTTCGTTATCGCCTATCAAATATCACCTATTGCCTCTCAATTAATTTTAAATTGTAGGTTCTATTAGTTCAAAGCCAATGGCAACAGTGCTTCAAAGTTGCAGATAAAAATCGTATGCAACCGTGAACATTAAATGTTCACGATTGCGTATGTCCATAGAGACCGTACAATCGTGTTTCACCGGTAGAATCGAGCACCACGTATTTACTTATTCCATTTCATTCATCGTTGCATTACTAGCAGGTACTTATGAATCGAATCAATAATAATCAAAACCGTTTGAACCAATCGATTTGCATATGTATACAAACTTTAGGTTTTTGGGTCATATGCAGCGGGTAGGAAAAGGCGTATAATGTAAAAAAACCTACCAACTACACCATGTCCAGTAATAGATTATTGATCATAATATTGCACACAAATGTTAACTATATTATATTATGTTAATACAAATTAAAAACAACGTATTTATGTACTTATTTTAAATATAGAGTTGACATTTTATGTTATTACGCATTATCGATATTGATAATAATTGTTACGTTACCATATTAGTTTTTTATCATTTGCATATAATTTTGTGTAGTTATAACTATATAGCTATAGCTAGTTAAAATATTCTACTTTATTGGGAATATTTTTCGATATTCTCGTAATTTCTCTAAACGTACGGCACATTTATGTTAACACATTTTGCGTAGATTCCTTTAGAAAATGTTTGTAAATAAGTGAGTTTTTCTTAGGGTACCTATCTATATACAATGTTTTAATACTATAACATTTATTATCGTGAAGAATAACTACACAACTATCCTGCATTAATAGGTGAGAGAATCGAGATAAACTATGAAAGTTAAGTAATACCAAAAATATATTCTATATTAATTTCTTATGTCTGACTTTTTATGTATTCTGTTTTACACAGACATTTATTACGTCTGTGTAATAATACTTCGTCAGCAATATATTAGATTTATTATTTCATATATTCTTGGTAATATAAGTATAATATATATTATACCTATATTTATATGCATATCTTTGAAGATTACCTATTGTTTACCTACTCAGTACTTGTTAGATTGTGTAAATGCCATAACTTCTAATGATAATTAGTAATTATATATGCCTAATTTATTTATACCCATTGATGATGTAAAATAAAAAACGTTTCAACGCCAAACAGGTTAATTGAAGTTATATCGTAATGAATATCGTTTTATATGCATAGGTACATTATTGATAAAAAATTACCTAATAAAATTAATAATATGGTAAATAATATTGAAAAATGTTGCATATGTATCCTCATTAAAAGTTTGGACCAAGACAAAAACTAGAATTACAACTTAGATTTTTGTATCTAATACTTATAAACTTTTAAATTCATACTTTTGATTACGATGAGACAACTTTAATTTTGATTTAAATCCATCCATATTCATGTTGCATAATATGCTGTACAGTAGTCAGTAATACATCTTTTTAGTTTTTAATATTCATCTAGTAAGTTTGTAATACATAGTATAAAATGTGTGATTTATAATAAAAATGTTGTTTATAGTTTATACTAGCTGAATATATATAATAGGTATATTATTACAAATTTACTAGGTTTTTTTTCATAATATATTATCATAATTTGAAATTATTTGTAATCCTCATAATTAACTTAATAATATAAAGATTAAAATATCAAGAAGATACTTCTTGTTATACATCTGTAGATGACTGATAAAAAATTAAAAAAATTGATCGAGTGTCACTGTTGTAATATTATTTAACATTTATACGTTTATATTGACTCTTTATATATTTGTATCTATATACATTAGAAATATTTCAGAAATGTATTATAGGTACATAGTGTATTTGTAGGATCAATGAGTGTTATTTCTCACTGGTCCGTATAATATTTTCCTGGATACCTTTCTATCGAAGATAAGAATCTTCTCCTCATCTCCTTGAGTTACCGACCACGTATCACAGACAAATGCCATTATTGGGCGTAAGTAAGCTAAGTCAATTTTTTCCTTTGACACCGATGATAGCATTCTTAAACTTAACAGTTTATACAGTGAGAAATATACATGATTCGTCGAGCTTATCCCCAGTTTAATTTCATTGTGCATATAATTTTTTGATTGTTGTTCACTCCTAAATATTTAAAGCCATCGACCTGTTCAAAGGTGTATGGTCTGACCACAAAATCGTTCTTAATAGGCGTGTGGTTAGGTTAGGTTAGGCGTGTGGCCAATTACTCTCATGTCATTATATAATTTAATATTTTAATATTAAGTGCAAGCTTTCCAGCCTTATAAGTTATAGTAGGTCTATACAAAGTCTCTCGTCCGATTTGGGAGTTGAAATCCCTCCTTAGTATTTTTATGCAATTTCTAGGTTTGTGTGCCATATATTCTTTCTAGTTCTTCGTAGAATTCACATTTGATGTCTTTGTTTTCTTTTGCAGTCGGGGTATAACAATTTATTATCACAATATCCCAGAAACGTCCTTCTAATTTTAAAACGCACAGACGATCGCTAAGTAGCGTAAAGCTTTTGAAATGTGGTAGTATTGCGTCACTAATCATGAACCCTACGTCCCTACTCCATATTCATCTCTACCATTCTCCGATCCACTATAGAAAATGATGTAATTTTCAGAATTTACAATGTTATTAACAGGCCGCCGTAGTTCTTGTAGTGCTACAACTGGTAATTTGTACTTTTGTATCTGGTTTTTAACAGTTTTATAGTCCCCGACTTAAATAGAGTTCTTATGTTCCACGTATACCGATCCTTAATCCATTGTTGTCCTTGTTCCGTTTTCCATTTCGTGTTTTGAAATGACTGTCCCGAGGTTTATTTAGAATATTCACAACAAGTCTGTTATTTTGGGTGGTGGGAACGCCATCTTCCCTACGCCATCCAATGACTGGGATCCACGGGGTTGTCACACCCGTTACCAATTAAAGTACCCCATGCGGGGATAACTTATAATATAGAAATTTAAAATGTTGAGACATCCTTAAATATTTTAACTTATGAAAAATGCACAAAGCTATTAAATAATTAAATCATTACATATTTATTACTATAACTAAAAAAATAATACATCTATTGACGTGAGTTAATTTCAGGAGCATGGACCTACAGTCATGGCAGAAGACGTAAACCTTTGATTTTCTTACCAATCATCGGACAGATTTTAACCGATGGATTATACTTTGTGAATCACTTTTGGTATTAGCATTCAACATTTAATTTAATCTTTACATCAGTTATCCCTGGATTGTACGTCGGTCGAAATATGTTTTGGGTTCTTGTGATGTCATAATATGACATATTATGTATCGGAAAGTTCAAAATTTGAACGTAGAACTTTGAAACATGGGATAATTATTGTAACATATACATTTAGTTTGTTAATAGGGTGGGGTTTAGTAGCAATTTTAAAAAATGGGACAAACTATTTACATCGATATTTATTGTACCAATATTGTTTAATTTATTCGCCATACTGATAAGCCATTTGTATGTTGAAGGTAATTCTGAAATTTGTAACGAAGACTATAGAATTATAGTTGAGACCAAACTACTTGTTCAGAGGTATCATCGATTTATTTAAAAACAAATGTAAAAGGTTTTTCTATTGTAATAGCAACTTTAATAATATGCCAATCAGTCAGAGTAGCGAGAATAGGAAGTAAGTTCTTTATAACATAGGGTGCATGTTAACACAATGTACTTTATATACATATATAAATATATAATACATATTATATACTATATGTATAGTCATATATGTATATGTATATTATATATATATATATGTATTTTGATGCATTAAATAATAATTATAATGTACTTTTCTACCCTCTTAAATCAATATTTCAGGCGAATATGAAATAATAATGCAGTATCTAAGTACTTCGTTTATTTGGTACAATTATGACTATATTTATTTCAGTGTTAAAAAAATGTTGGCAATTATTTTTGTTTTTTTTTGTAAGTAAATGTTATTAATTGTTTTTAGAAAAATTATTTCGTGGATATAAGAACTAATATTATATTATTTGATATAATTATGATACTAAACCATAGTCGGCATTTATATTTAAAACAAAATCTACCAATTAAAAGTAATAAATATTTTCTTTTACTTTTTTTTTTAGGGGGGGGGTTGTGGCTTAAACTACTGAGGTTATTAGCCTGTGAAACTGTAGGGGATGGAGCACGTATGTGTTGGCAGATTTTTTAGTGGGCACTCGTAGGTATCTGCCATGCCCGGGTGCAGTGGCGTAGACAATGGGGGGACGTGGGGGGTCAGATCCCCCGTTGGCTTTTTATTACCTTAGAAAAAAGGTTTGAGAGGGTGGGGGATTTTACAATTTTTCCCCTCCCATTTAGAGATATGTTGTTTTTTTTTTGATCCCCCTCCTTTCAGAAATCATGTCTACGCCACTGCCCGGGTGGGGAATGGCGGCACTTCTTCTCCGGACACTGTAACTTACCCGAAGAAAAATGCCGCCTTCGGCCGTTGATCGAGCCGGCA